TGAAGTAGGAACCCTCCTCCACTGCTGGTGGTCATGTAGATTTGTACAGCCACTGTGGAAAGCAATTTGGAGATACTTAAAGAAAATGGAAATTGATCTACCTTATGACCCAGTCATCCCTCTACTGGGCATATACCCAGAGGAGGTACCAAATAAAACATGACCAGTCATTTGTGCTCCAATGTTTATTGCGGCACAATTCACAATTGCAAAGATTGGAAACAGCCTAAGTTTCCATCGATAGACAAGTGGATTAGTAAACTCTGGCACATACACACAACGGAGTACTATGCAGCACTGAAAACACAGATAATCACACGAAACATGTCGTTTCATTGAAAGAGTTGGAAGGAATCATGTTAAGCGAGGTAAGCCAATCTCAAAAGGACAGGTATAACATGGGTCCCCTGAGGTAAGTACAATCAGCATGGCAGGAATCGAAGAATAAACACTTATCTTGCAATAAATGAGTGGAAGCATAGGTAGTGGGGGTGGCGGTAGGGGCGGGGGACAGACCACACCCAGGGAGGTACATGTGAGTCCAACATAAAGAAGGGGAAAGGAGGAAGGAGCAGGGAGAATCAGGGTGGGGAGAAACTGAAATGATGTCATGGGGGGAACAAGGCACTAATCCACCCAGGGGGAGAGTATGGGTTGTGTCCCCACAAAACTGAAATGTGCATACAGACCCCACCATGATGCGCCAAACCAAAAGGGCAATGTAACACATGGAGGAATCCACAAAAACACTGGACTATATGCCCAGCCCCAACCAGAATCAGCCTGACCCCCACCATGGAAGGGATTACCACAGAGAATGAAAATAGACCATCTGGTGAGGGAAAGGAACCGACCTACCATACCCAGAAGGAAGCTGAAGCAAAGGAAGGGGGTGAAAGGGAGTGGAGCACACCCTGGCCCACCAAGCCCTGAGGACAATAGCCCCACTCAGAGCAGCCAATGTACAAAGAGGACCATATGGCCAGCCCCACTGAGAGATGCGACATCCTGCACTGACCCACAGCCCTACATGGGACAACACTGGAGACAGTGTGGGATGCGTGACCGAGCCGACCCCACCACACCAAGGCAAAATGCTAAAGGCCTGCAAAAGAACAGCAAGGGGAGCAAAACCAGGAAGTCCCAAGGGAGAATCAAAAATAGACTTTGGGGCCAGGGCGTGGCACCCCATCAGACTCGAGTGTAAAACACCCTAAAGGTCAACAAACAGACCTTGAACTATGTACAGGCTTTGCTTTCTTTTTTTTCCTTTATTTCTTCTTTTAGATTTTGTATGTCATTGGCTTTTGTTGTTGTTGCTGCTATCATTGCTTTGTTTTTCTGTGTCACTTCGTTTGGCGTTGTCAAGATTTTCTTGCATATTATTATCTCTGCAGGTCTATCTAGATAAGATAGGCTGGATAAACAATGTGGAGAAGACAACAACAGGACCAATGGTTCTGGGGGGCCACGGGAGAGTGGAAGGTGGGGGAAGGGAAGTGGTGTTAACCAACCCAGGGACAAGGGAACAATGAGTGATTCATAACCAGTGGCAAGAAGGGAGTGGGAGGACTGGTAGGGAGTGATCAAGGGTAATGTAAGGGAGAGAAATTCCTCCCTTATGAATGAAGGCTGAGCATGATAGTGGGACAAGAGGAAAGCAAAGGAAGGCTGAGCATGATAGTGGGACAAGAGGAAAGCAAAAGGAAATAAAAGAAAGAAGCAGGAGGCAAAAGGCATACATAGAGGCTTAAATACAGGCATGTGCATATGTAAATATATGTATATGATGATGATGATGGGGAAATAGATCTATGTGCATATATTTATAGGTTTAGTAGTAGGATAGCAGATGGACATGGGGCCTCCACTCACGTACTCCCTCAGTACAAGTACACTTTGCTCTACTAAACAGACATTCCATGATACCCACCTTCCCGACATGATCACTGAAGACAAATGTGTGCATAAGTAAATGTGGTGAAGAAAGCTGATGGTGCCTGGCTATCAAAAGATATAGCACCTGGGGTCTTAAAAGCTTGAAGGTAAACAAGTGGTCATCTAGCTCAGAAGCAACAAAGCCCACATGGAAGAAGCACACCAACCTGTGTGATCACGAGGTGTTGAAGGGCTCAGGTAGCAGACACCAAAAAACAAAAATCATCATTGTGTGCTCACCTTCCCCATACAAACACTGAAGACAAATGTGTGCATAAGCAAGTGTGGTGAAGAAGGCTGATGGTGCCCAGCAATTGATAGATAAAGTATCTGGGGTCTTACAGGCTTGAAGGTAAACAAGTGGCCGGCCATCGAGCTCAGAAGCAACAAAGCCCACATGGAAGAAGCACACCATCCTATGTGATCATGAGGGGTTGAAGGGACCAGGTATCAAGCTCCAAAGAACAAAAAATCATATCATCGTGAATGAGGGGGAGTGCAGGGTGGGGACCTAATGCCCATGTGTAGGCAACTGGACATCCCTTACCGAGGGGTAACAATGAGGAGACGAGTCACTCAGGGTGCAGTGTAACATCGATGAAACACACAACTTTTCTCTAGTTCTTAAATGCTTCCTACCTACCCCCCTGCCATCATGATCCTGATTCTATCTTACATACTTGGTTAGACCAGAGGATGTACAGTGGTGCCGATAGGAATTGGAAACAGGGACTCCAGGACAGATGAACCCCTCAGGACCAGTGGTGAGAGTGGTGATACCGGGAGTGTGGGGGGAGGGTGGGATAGAAAGGGGGAACCGATTACAAGGATCTACATATAACCTCCTCCATGAGGGATGGACAACAGTAAAGTGGGTGAAAGGAGACATCGGACAGTGTAAGATAAGATAAAATAATAATTATTTATAAATTATCATGGGTTCATGAGAGAGGGGGGAGTGGGGAGGGAAAGGGGGAAAAAAAGAAAAATAAGGAGCTGATTCCAAGAACCCAAGCGGAAGGCAAATGTTCTGAGAATGATGAGGGCAAAAGATGTACAAATGTGCTTTACACAACTGATGTATGTATGAATTGTGATGAGTTGTACAAGCCCCCAATAAAATGATTAAAAATAAATAAACTGCTAATCAAATGAACATAAATGCTCTTAGGTTTACACAACATTATAGATTTATAAATGAGTGAGGGTACATATAAATTGAACTTGAAAGCTCAAGAAAGTCTAATTTTAAAAATTCTTACAATTTTAATAAGCTCATAATCATATGAAGTCTTGAGGACTATCTATAAACAATCTTTTTACCCAGAAAATGAATATATGAAAACATTCAACTGTCTACTCCTCTGGGGCTTATTGGTTAAAGGTAAAAACCCCACAGCAAACGCCCTGGACAAGCTGTTGTTGTTAGGTGCCATAGAGTCTAAAGGCGTCTAGGTGTAAACAGAACAAAGAACTTTCCAGTCCTGCACCATTGTTCTGCTTGAGCCCATTGCTGCAGCTAATGTGTTAATCCATCTGCTGGAGGGTCTTGCCCTGTTTCGTTGCTCTTCTACCTTAACCAGCATGATATTCTTTGCCACGGACTGGTCTCTCCTGATAACATGACCAGAGTATGTGAGGCAAAGTCTCCGTAGCCTTGCTTCTCAGGATCACTCTGGTTGTGTTTCTCTCAAGACATGTTTGTGTGTTTGTTCTTTTGGCAGTCCGTGGTACTTCGCCAACACCATCATTCAAACGCATTGAGTTCAACAAAATAACGGAAAAAATTAGCAGATGAGGGTACAGTCAAGGCTCTCAATTCAACTGAGGGACACAGAAAAGCCTCTTAAGCGCTTCTTAAATTTTAATGTAACCTGAAATAAAGGCATTGTAGATATTGTTTATTTTTACCCTTGCTTAAAAAATGCACGTCAAGTTTCTAAACACTCAATGTTTTCTGCCATGTTGCATTGTGCTAAAATCACTCTTGCCTGTATTCAGAATTGGTAAATCTAAAAATCTCATGATTAATCCACTATGAACATAGGCAAGCAGGACAGCTGGGCAGAACAAGAGCTTCCCCTGACCTTCTGAAGATTCAGCTGGCAATCAAGCGTCCTTATTAACCCATGGCAACTAAATGGAAAGGCTACACTTTTTAGCGAAACCATCTGATAGCTTCTAGGAGGATGAATAGAATACCACTACCAATCTGTATTGGAAGCAATACAAGCAGACCCAACCCCTGGCTTTTAAATCGGTTCACAGGCAGCATGTAAAATCTGTACAATGAATAAGACTGTAGACGTGACACCTTCAAATTATGGTATTGGTATAGAAGAGTGACATACTGTAGACTACCAGAAGAACAAATCATTCTCTCTCGGATGAAGTAGAGCCAGAATGTTCCTTAGAAGAGAAGATGGAGAGACATATTTTGGACATGTTCTCAAGAGAAACCAGTCCCTGGAAAAAGAAGCCATGCTTGGTCAAGTGAGACGGACTGACACATAGTGCAACAATGGAGGATGCTGCAGGGCAGGGCAGTGTTTCCTTCTGTTGGACAGAGGGTCACAATGAGTCAGAACTAATTGGATGGCACCTAACAACAACAATAACAGATTCAAAGTTGTAGGTTGCCCTTGGGATGGCTCTGACTCATGGTGAACCTGGGGTATATAAAACATTGCCTGGTCCTGCAGTACCCTCACAATTTTGGTTACTTTTGAGCCCATTTGGACAACTGTTGTGTCGGTCCATCTCATGGCGGGTTTCCTTCGCGTTTGCTCAAGTACAGTACGCTTAATTGTTTTAGAGACAATCGATTTCTAGAGTCACAAGGTTGCACACAGAGTAAAGTACTGGCTATTAACCAAAGGACTGATGATTCAAGTCTAATCAGAGGTAGCTGAGAAGAAAAGCCTGGCAAGGCACTTCCAAAATCTCCCAGGCATTGAAAACCCTATGCAGCACAGCTCTGCTCTCAACACAAGGGGCACCACGAGGTCCACTTTGACGGCAACTGGCACCAGTCATCGGTTTCGATATACAAATAGCTGCCGACATATTGGCTTGGTTAAGGCCTGGGCTTTCACACACAAGCACCTCCAAAAAATCAATACGTAGGAAATGTCACCATGTTTACCACTTAAAATGTAAACCTCCACATGACAACAATTTCAGCATTCACTCAATCACGCACTCAATGCCATTGAATCATTCTGATTTATAGAGACCCTACAGGACAGCGTTAAACTATCCTGTGTGCTTCTGAGCAGGAAGTCTCACTTTTCTCCCTTGGAGCACCTGGTAAAGGTTGAACTGTTGACCTGGCAGTTAGCAGCCAAACATGTAACCCACTACGCCACCCAACCTGCTTCACCTTACAATCAGTGGATTAATATAATGCACAATTATCTTAAAGCATCACTATGTCTTGGTAACTTTTTTGTCAACCTGTATTTTTTATATCATATTATCGTCTATATACGTTAAAAGATAATAGCACGTATATTTGCTACACATTTATTCAACCTACAGATTTCTGGCTTACAGATGCCCCTGGAGTGCAGATAAGCCAGTGAAAACTCTTGGACTAGACCCCTACTCAAAGGTTTCTTCTTTATTTCCTTCCTGGAATGGGTAAATAAGAATCTAAGTTTTTAATGAACAAACAAAAGCATTATGTCATCAAGTTCATGTTGAAATGAGAAAGTTTATTCAAAAGTTCATAGATGGTTATGGGAATAGCAAGGAAAAACACTGGTCTAAGTCAGGGTGATATGGATTGGGTTTTTTTTGTTTTTTAATCAGAGAGGATAGGTGTTTTGACAAATGGTGACTCCAAATTTATTTCATTCATATATGTATAAGAAAGAGTTTTATATCAAAGAGCAATTGTATATTGAGAAAACATCCCAGCCCAGTCCAGATCAAGTCCTTAAGCTTGATATTAGCTTATATGTCTAATACTAGTCCATAAATTCCTTTTAGACTCACGCAGCACATACAATGGTGCCAAATGAAGGAAGATCACAGGCTGGTGGATGAAAGTTCTTGTGGATCCAATGGCAGTGAAAGCATTTCCAAGACTCTTGCTGCCATCAATGTGACTCATGTGTCTTGGCAAAAGGAATGTTAAGAAAAGAGAGAGTGTGTATGTCCTGCCTCCAGGGAGGAAGAGAAGAAGTTCCCAGAATCCTCATGAGAAGGCCACACCCACAAGGAAACATCAGGCTGTGACCTGATTGACAGGCTAGATTCCAACCCTTCACATTTAATATCTTCAAGTTGACATGAGCAAACTAGACACAGTTGACTA